TATATTTAATAAATATATTAAATAAATATATTAAAATAAATAAGAAAAATATTGATGATTATCTTTATAAGCTTATTATTATTTTAAACTATACACGATGATAGGATGATTGACAGGTGACAAATGAAGAAAGGAAAAGATCACCTTCAAACACCTGATCGTTACCTGTCCAGATGTAGAACTCTCTTGCCAATTCTGCTTGCCGCCGCGGCGACGATGGACTCGGTCATACCTGTCGGAAATCATGACAGCGAGAATTACTGGTGAAAAAGTTTAGTTTCTGCTGATAAACGCGATGCGCAACCATTTCCCCCGTCATGATAAGAATCAATACCTGTTCCTACAACGACCACATCATATTCGGTCGGCAGATCGTCCTCCATGGTTGTCTCTCCCTCGGTGGTTGCCTACCTTCGGAGCTAATCGGGTGTGACAATTGGTGCGAAGATATCGGCGAATAAATTATAAATCTACGATATATCGGATGCGAACCGATCAATTCATTTTCCTTGATGATCGACACCGATGAAATTCGCGTAAAAAAAGTTTGCCCCGCCCCGCACGCGACCCACACTCGCAACTCCTCGCGCACGGGCCCTATTCAAACCCTTTTTTGCTGAAGTTTGACAGAACTGGACAGAACGAACGGTACTAAAGCAATCAAAGGGGCGAGCGGATCAGAGTGGATATATGCAATGAGAGAAAAAGAAAAGGAGAATGAGATCGTTAATCTGGATGTCTCGCTCAATCTTGTTCATCACGAGCGTCGCGCTCCTCGCGGAGCAGGACAAAACATATGAGAATGTCCCAGTGACAGTTAGAGTTCCTAGAAAAAGGATTCTAGTTACTCTAGGGACTTAGAGATTTTATATTCAAATAGTGTTTTCGATCTAAACGGATTTGCTCCCATTTGAGTTGGATAATGTTCTACTTTTAATTGACGTTCATATACCACCAATAGGAGAGCATACAAAGTCATTAATCCAACCTACGTTGGTGCAAATCCGCTCGGGTCGAATACGTTAAAAATTTAGTGAATGTGGACCAAATATGGCGGATAGAAAGAGACAATAGATATTGCTTTCTTGTATAAATGCATGCGCAAAAAGTGTTAAGGCGCGTTTACTTTGATGAAAAAGCGAAAAAGCAGGCAATCCGAACTCTAGCTGATAGTCTACAATTTCGACTTTTTGTATTACGTAGAGACTTCGCGCAAGAAAAGGAACAGGGAACAGAGAACAGAGAATAAGAATTTCAACCTATCAGAAACTGTGTATTCCACAATATATGATTTCTGATAGGTTGAAATTCTTATTCTCTGTTCCTTTTATTGTGCGGAACCCCTTATATGTATGTTACACAACTCATGTTTTTCACTAATCACATACAGTACGTGCATACAAACACAGATTTTCACTTTCAACACATCGCACGGACCCAATTCTGAGACGAATCGATTTTGTCTTGACTCTGATTATAGTGACTCTATGGCTGTAGTCAAAGTCTTATTACAATACTTATTACAATAAATACTTTGAAGTGTTTGGTTGACCAATTAAAAAAAAGAATTTCCTAAATTGACCAATCAAAAAGTGTTTTAAAGCATTGTAGCATCGCGTTGATCATATCCTATGTCATATAATCCAACAGAGCCCTCTGGTAATTGATTTGATCTGTCACCAAAATTGCACCAAATCTGTTCCAGGAAGATCAATTTGTGGTTAAGTTGATGAAAATTTAAGATTCCAATAATATTTTATAAAATATAATTTCAAATAAAGCATAATTTCGTATAAATTACAAAATATCTGAGAAAGATGGTGAATGATTTAAAACTGGAATGCTCCTTTTCTTCTTGGTATCCAATATTCAAGAAAGATTCCTTAGAGGCTAGAATTCTTCACATTCCCGATGAAGTTTTAAAATATTTGGAGCATGATACATTTGTATTGCCTCTTGAGGCAGCGAAATCTTTACCGAAGGATTCCGAATGGGTTGATGGTTCACCAGTGACATGTGAAGAAGAAGTATTTATTAATATATTTTGAGAAATAATAGAATTATAATCTTTATTTTAAATTTATATAAATAATCAAGTATAATATGTAAATTTTTTTTAGGAAACGGATTATCAACCGACATTCCCTGAATTTAGTCAACAAATACAGGAAATATTAGATGAGTATGATGCAGTATTTGTCAAAACAAATTGGAGTACACCTGCGGTAAATTATTTTCTACCATTTCTATATTTTTATTTCACAAACATTTCTTCTAAAATTCTTATTTTTCAGAAAATATAAATAAGCATGTATGTCAACATAAAAAAAGTACCATGTGCAGTAAAATTCCAAATGTGACAATTCCAAAACCAAAAATTCCTTTTCTAAAATACTTTGTATTTAATGAATCAAATAGCTTGTTCATAAATTTTCTGTTATATTAATAGAAATATAACAGTAGTATAATTTTGTAATAATAGTTTTAATTACAACAATATATATTTATTAACAATATATATTTATATTAGGACAAAATTTATTAAAATAAAAAGAAAATTATAATTAGTATAATTAGTATAATTTATAATATGTAATGGTAATTATGTTACAGGATGCTATGTGGGTTGCACCCACAAAGACTCTCAAATGTAACACGCTAGAAGAAATCTATTTGTTACTGAAAAGCTCTGATAGGATTGCTAAAGATCTGAACATCGTAAAATCTTCAAAGGACTATGAGAACTCTTTGCCTTTCTGTCTGGTGTTGAAACAATGGCGAGATATTAATCCTTGCACAGAATTTCGCTGCTTTGTTATAGATAATGAGCTCATTGGTAATTTATCACTTAGTTTTCTTTTTCTTAATTGTCAAATTTTATTAACTGCTTTTGTGATTTTTTTTTTTGCTTTTACAAAGTTAACTTTTGCGATAACAAATCATATTTTATGCAGCTATAAGTCAGAGGGATATATCGCAGTACCATAGTTCCAATGAGTCACAAAAATATGACATACAGACAGATATTAAGAGCTTATTTTTAGAGCGCATCAAAGGCAGATTTCCATTACGCAATTGTAGGTAGAGCACCATATTAAAATTAGTAACGATATCAAATTTTTATTAACTTATAGAATTAACTTCTGACAGATTCCTTCGATGTTATACGATATAAGAAAGATAAAGTAAAAATAATAGATTTTGGTACAATGGATGCAGCATCTACAAAGGAAACGCTTTTCACATATGACGAATTGCAAAATCATATTGAAAATACGCCGGAATTCCGTTTTATTGGGGAGGAGATAGGTATTCAGCCAAAGCCACCAATGCAATTTTGTATTCCGCAAGAGATCAGCGAGTTTTTCCAATCGAGAGATAATGTCACGTTGCTGGACCTTATTCAGAGGGTATGTCTTCTGGTTATTGAAGAAATACGCTTGCAAAATTTAGCGATTTATTTTAGTTTTTAGATTTGACACTCGATTACGACAATCAAAACTTTGTTGCAGGAAGTGGAAAGTCAACGGAAAGAGCATGAAAAAGAAAATGCTAACGTTTCAGAAAGTACTTGATGTATATATAACGTATAAATAAATATTTTCCTTATATATAAACATCAGCTGTAACTCTTTTACTCACATGTATAAGGGATACAAAACTTAAAAGAGGTATTATAAATTATTGTTACATTTTATCTTTCTCAAAGAAGGCTAATATCTACTAATAAGTACACGCGCTAATAAATATACGCGATTACACAATGAACGGATTTTAATCTTTAAATCTTGTACATTACATTTTAGCCTGTTTAAATCCTATATTTTGAGATCATTCGATTACATCTCAGTGTCAAAAGGAATAATCGAACTTATTCAATTATTTCGCTCTTTCTAAGTTATCAAATTTTGTTGGTTTCTTCATTCCGATAGACGTTACAAAAAATTCAGAATTACCTGCATGCAATAGAGATCATATCAGATCTGTCGATTGAGTTGAAGCTGATAATTTTCATAGCGTGTCATGATACAATCTGAAGCTTTCGATTTATGTAAATGTATAAGTAAATGCAATTAAATACTCTTGATCAATCCAAATCGTTTCTGTATTTTGGGATGCGATGCGTTTGCGTGTCTATGTGTATATGTGAATGAATGTACACCGACAGGATATTTAAATACAGAACTTTCACTTTTATTCTGCCAGACTCTCTTTTTCTATCATTACATTACATAAAACGATTAAAGGCTATCCTACCGCTTGAAAGAATTATCATAATATTGCAGTATTTTTCGAGCCATCGGCCTTTTTACCGAGCGACGTCCCTTATATAGAAAATATGTCTTGTTTATGTACAATATGCAATCCTTAATACTTCAGTTTTGAAAAAGGATCTCCGATATATGTACCTCCGGACAAGTTAATACGCTGTACAGTCATATCCAAGGAGTATTTTCATCTTTCTCTCCCTTTCTATGTTTCTCTCTGTTCCTTCCTCTCGTTCTCTCATCTCATAATCTTCATAAAAACAAAAACCATAGGATGGGGCGACTACTGCTGTGTGCGATTTTATCATTTTTATCAGTGGACCATGGAACGTTTCTGAAACCCGAACTCTTCGCAAAACGACCCAACAGCTTTTCGCATCGGGCCTCGCACTTCATCTGTATAGTTCTGCCGAGTATTAAGGATGAAAAATGCTTAAATTCTAATTTTTCATAACATATCGATTTCATTAATTTTTTAGTAATGCAAACACGTTTTTCTTGAAATTATATAACATATACGTATATATTATATATATAGTTTAAGTTATGAAAACCAATATAAAAGTTATTATCTTTTGCCAATTCTTAGAAAAATACTACAGAAATATTATTCTATATTTTGACGTTACTTAAAAATTGAATATACAAACTGTTCTAAATTTCTGAATAAGTTATTTTCAGATTTAAGAGAATAATATAATAAAATGGCTCTACATTTTCCTTTATCATACTTATCGTGTAATTTAGCCTGAGAGATTTAGAGATTCGGTGGGAAGCAAACCATATTTCCATCGCGTATTTATCGAATCTTATTTAAATAAAAACTTCATAATTCGTTTATCATACAGCAAATAAAAGTAGGCGATTGCGCTTGGATTTCAAGCTTTGGATTTTCGAGATACGAGGCAAAAACCCGTCATCTGCAAGTGCAATATGATGAAAAAAGTTGCGAAGTCGCTTCGCAAAACAAAACCTTATTTACAGAGTATCTTCTTCTTCCGCAAGCGAAATACGGCAGATTATTTCGTCGCTGCTTTGTTACAGACAACCTCTCCCATTAGTCGCGATTGCAATTTGTGCATCGATCTCTTTCCCACAATATATACGCGAATACCAGTCGAATGGATTTTATGTAAAAAGACCCAAAGAACACCCTTATATGAAAAAACTAAACTTGATTCTTTCTAGAGGGAAGTACGATGCCATTTCGATAAAAATAATTGACAGCACATATCGCTGTTCCTATTGACTATCAACAAAAACAAGGAGGATCATCCAGATACCTCTAATACAAAATAATTAATCTCGTAGATTAATCAGAATGGTGCACGGTTCCTTTTACATAAAAACTCTTTGCAACGATCTCCGAGAAACATTTCTTCTCGAGATCGCGAAAGGCCATGTCCCTTCGCAGTAGATTTCGTTTTTGAGGGACATTCGGATTTTCAATGCGTGCATTCAGTACTACGGACCGCTCAGTAAGTAAAAAAGGAATTAATATATTTATTTGTTATAATATTCGTAATGTAGAATATTTATTAATTATATTTATTAATTATAATAATGATAATTCTTTTTCAATATTATTATTTCTTACTTATTATTGATTATTTCTGTAAGGCCATGAGAACGCGAGCGGTCTTACAAAAAAAAAAAAAAAAAATAGTAATAAGAAATATAATATTAAAGATTATCTACTATAATAGATAAGTTATTTTATGAATATTACAACAAATGAACATATTAGGTGTAGTAAAAAAAAATTCATTATTTTTCCATTCAATTTCATGCAAAAATAATGGATTTCTTTTTACTACACCTAATACTATTTCTTTTCTTTCTCACTAAGAGCTCAGTGAACGCGCCCTAGTATTGAATGCGCCTAATAATATCCCTTACAGCACAAAATTGTATAAAAGTTGCGGCAACACTGCTGCAACATTACAGCAACACATGTGGCAGCAATATATTGCAGATTTTGCAGCGATATTGTTGCAAATTCTGTGCTGTATAGGATTCAACGCGTATGTATAGCGGTGTACCGTCTAAGACATGTTCCCCTCACATCATTTTTCTATCGTTCATTATGTACATACACAGGAGCGCGTCTTTTTTTTCGCGTTCGCTACGATGATCGTTCTTCGTGATCAGTTTCGCTTTCTTACATTCACACACTCGCCCTCGGTCGTTCTCCCCTCACAATCTGATCGCTCAAATTATTTCGACTGATTTGTGCTAAACGACATTGCATAGCTTAATGAATGTACATTTTGCGGTGTACGGCCGTTTGCTCATTCTGCGAGTCTCTCTCACCTTTTTTCTTCCACCCTTTGCTCGCTCGCAAATTCATCCTCTTCGCTCTTTTCTTTCTTTTTACTTTTTACGTCGCTCATTTCAATGATACTAAAGTGACGTATAACAGCATTCGCACACTCTCTCGATTCTCTTTCTCCCTTTTGCATCTCCTTTCACTCCTTCACTCGCTCTTCTTCTTTCTCTCTCTCTTTCGAATACTGGTAGGGTGTTGAGTGACAAAAACAGTAGTCTTAACAAACATACGATACAAAAACTCTTAAGTTATCGCCTGACGGCCAGTGTAAAGCGGGTTGTTTTATTTTATCATTATTTTTTTTCCTTCTTCTCTCTCCCTTTCTTCTTTCCTCTTTTCCTACTTCTTTAAGTACCTGAAGAAGCTAGCTTTGGGAAATCTCGCCTTGATCCGCAAACTAAGACCTGAAACCGATGTGGAATCTCAATGAGATCTGATCTTCGATCTGTTACCGATGACGATCTTGAAAACCGACAATCCGCGTACACAGCATCGGAAAGCATCGAAAAGTATCGGAAATCAAGCTCGCCGAAATTACACCGACTCCGATCCGCACTCCTCTTTTCTCTCTCTCTTTCCTGCTCCTTCCCTTAAGTCCGCGCCTCGGATTTGCCTTAACGATGAAGACTACGCACCCCTCTATGATAAATGCGATTGGTACGACTAAATTGGGTGGCGAAAGGCCCGACTATCACTGATGAATCGAGTAATACACGTGCATCCGAGTAGTACACGTGCATGAGCTAGAAGCTATCTCCCAATGACCCGTCCCCTTTCAAAAAATACGCATCTCTATTTGATGCGAGACATTCGCTCGGAATTTTATACACGCGAAGACATGTCACTCACACATCTCTTCGTTATTTTTCTCCCTTCTTTCTCACCTCCTTTCTTTTCTTTTTCTCTCTCTAATATACAGGAAGATAGAGCTCGTTTTCTTACTTTTATCGCGGGAATAAATATATTGAACTTGTCTTCGCTTTATACAAGTGGCTCGAGTGGAAACGCGATCTTCTCTTTCTTTGTGATACGCTTCTCTCGCGCGGAAATGAAGAAACATCGAAAGAGCTGCGAAAGAAAATTCTGAAAATCGTCATGAATGTAAAACGAAAGAAACGATCTATAAAAAAAAAAAGTTCCTTTTTATAAATCAATTAATTTGATCTATAAATAAAGCTTTCAGATTTACTCTCTTTCAATTAAAAAGTAAACCCTCATTTCTGTAGATCGCCTCGATTACATAAAATTTGACTTCAATACGAAAATAAATACTTTAATATGGAAAAAAAATAATTGATCTCATAAATAAAAGTGTAATTTTTTTCTCTTTGTAATTTTCTACTAAAATTAAATTTTCTAATAAAATTAAATTAAAGAAAAAACTCTTCAGAAGAAAAGTATGTGTGTGATCTAGGCCACGCTATATATAATAAAATTGCATTAATGTAAATATCGTAATAGATTTCCATCTTTTAATCATTTCTACAGTCAAAAGAGTGGCGAGTTAACATAAATATTACTTAAAACATAAATTTATTTACATATATTTCCTCACTGTTACAGAATATTTCTTCCCATAACTAAATCCCAAAATATATTTTTAGCGATCTAAATATTTAAAATAAAATAATTTGAATTGAATGTGACTGCGATTACGAAAAAAAGGAAGAAAAAGAACAAGCGTCGGCGTACTTCTTCTCGGAAAATGCGATTCACGTTTTTACGCCGAGAGATCATAGAATTTTCTACTGTGTAAGAACGCGTACGATACAATTACATACATGGATATTCGAATTTCCATGCTCCAGAGCTACGGTAATCGAGATAAACTAGGAAGAGATGAAGCGCACGAGGTAGGTATCTTGTTCGTCCTTTAACTGAATGAGGAAACCGAAGGAACGTATTTCGCGAATATAGTTATATTTATAACGAGAAACGATTATATTCATGTAATTCTCGTAGAGATAAAGATATCAATCATTTCATTTGCTAGCATCTCTATTTACGTGTAGAATATGTAAATCAGAAAGAAACGCAACAACAGAAAAATTAACACTGTCCGTCTTCTTATTTAAACTTTTCATATATAACATGATTCACATCAAAATTAACTAGAAAGATTGCAGCGCTCTTTTAACAATTATTTCGGCACAATTCTGTTAAAAAATATTCTTGTATTTTATATATAAAAATAAAATAACTTTTTCATAATTTTTTAATATTTGCGAAATTAAAAATTACACTAAATTTGGAAAATAGAAAAGTTTCCTCGTTGATCTCTGTTTAGTTAACCATAATTATAAATAAGTATCTCTGTATTAGAGAAAGAGAGTATAATAATGTGATGATAATAATATATTATTATATCCAACAAATATTATATTCTTAAGTCTTTTCTAAACATAATATTAACAATTATTAAAACAAATATATAATTAAATTATACGGAAATAAAATTCATTCTACGGAAATAAAAAAGAGAAAACAAAAAAGGTCTACAGAATGTGTGGTTAGATTGATTTAATTATATACAATTTACATATTCTACACGTATACTACTCGCTTTCCACATTGATTCATTACGCGTTTCCCTCAACGCCTTCTCGACAGAGCCTTCACTTTGGTTCATATCACGTAATGAGACACTATTCACAGGAACAGTTACACCTCGATTACTTGAAGCTACGATATTCTTTTTCTTGCAACATCGAAAGAGAACAGAAAAAGAGAGAAAGAACAAACTCGACAAAGTTCTCTACATATTTATACATATATATCGCGCGCCGGGATAAGAATTTTTGGAATGGATATCAGCGCCCGACGTACGTTTTCATTAATTATAATTATCAATAACGAAATGTTAGATAAACTTATACTCCCATGTAGCCTATTCCGTTCTCACGAGCTTTTACAAGTTACAAGTTTTTAGAGTAAGTCCATAGTAAAATTTGCAGGCATTCACACGTTTCACGGTAGCACACGGAGATACGATATAAATAAATCTATCATTCTCATCTGAAACAAAGTGAAGCGTTTTTGTACTAAAGTGCAGCGATATATATATAATATTATACCTTTTTAATGAATTATCTACGCAATGTACAATCGTGGATTTTTACATGCACCATGACAAGGTATGGTCGGGCCGTACAACAGACAACTGT